CAAAAAAAACAACTTGGGCTAAGACCGCACAACTAACATTCGCATAAAATCCCAGACCTCTGTGACAGATGGCTGAGGGAAAGCAGCCACGTGGCTGGGCTGCAGAGTTTTATAGTACAAAACCCATAAATAGTGCAGATTTGATCTCGCTGAAAAAAACATCAGCTATTCCAAGACGACACTAGTATATGTTTTAGTTTTCACAGAAAAAAAGTTCCAAGTAGTAAATTAACAGAAAAATTGGAGTCGTTGTGAGTATACATCTTGAGTAATCATGGGGGGAAAAAAACCACAAACACTCCTTATGTTTAAAAGAAGTGCTTTTCTACAGCCCGGGCTCCAGCCGGCTGCTCCCAAGCACCTGACTGGACTGGCAGGGAGCTTGCCCGGGTGACAGGGTGCAGATGGGCCTCGAGTGAGTGGGCAGGTGCAGTCGACACGACATGCGGGACCGGAGGAGGGGCCCTTTCTGCCCGTGGAGGGTGGGTCACACGCTGACTGCGTGGGTTTTTATTCAGGGCGGTACCGATGGGCATCACTTCTCTCCAGTGTTTGAAGCTCCAAACGGCAGGATGAAAACAGGTTGAGGGGAGTCGGAGGGGGAGGCAATAGTAGCAGGAAAAAATAGCCCTTCAGCTGGTGTGGAGGCCCCCCCAGGCTCCTAATACTCTAATTTCTCAAAGTCTATTTGGGATCCTTATTTTCATCATTACATTTAAATTTTATGGTGGCTTTTTTTTGGAGGGGGGGGTTGAGGGTAGGCATAGGTCTAATACTGTTCATGGACTTTCCAATTCAGGAGCATATCAACGCCCGCCTACCCATGCCAGGCACTCTCAAGTTAAAGATGGTACCTTGCGATTTATTTATTTATTCATTCATTCAGTTGTTTTCAAGCTACTATATTTGGGGGGAAAGAAAATTGAAAAAAATATATTGTTCCTGCCTCCAAGGAGCTTATTCTACGCACATAAAAAATCTGTAGTAAAAGATAACGCAATAAATGTTATAAATTATTAAGCTGAAAAGTGAGACAATTGTTCATTAGAATTGTTATCTGCGCTATAAAATAAGAAGCGTCTCAGTTGTACGCCAGCAGAGGAATGATTGCTGAAATTATGGTACATCTATTTAATGACACATTACGCGACCAGTAAAATCATAATTATGACGACTTTGTGGCAACATGGAAAAAAGCATGTCACCTGTCGCCGAAAGCAGGAAACAACCTAGCGTTTCTGCTCCGCTTATAAGTAGGAAAAAAGCAGGTAGAGATTTGTTCCCTGAAGAAGAACAAAACAGGAAATGACAGAAATCACGGTACTTCTATGTAGAAGATGGGCCTGGGGCCATTTCCTCCCATATTTTCCAGGCAAATGAAAATATTGCATTGTCTTGAAAATTAAAATTTTTATCACACATTAAAGATGGTGATAGAGTTAAAAAAGCAAAATCAGAATTTTTACTCTAGATGTTCTGATTATGAGAATTATTATTAAAAATATGGGTAGGATAAGACGACACTGTTTTCCTTACTTGGCTGGTTTTCTATTACTGCACAATGGGTCACCATCGCCTGTCCCCTCCTGACTTGGCGAAAGGGCCTGCGGAAGGAGGAGCCCGGCCCAGCCCTTCGTTTTCGCCCCTGACCCGCGTCCTTTCATTCTCGCTCCGGGGTGTCCGGGGAGCGTACCAACGCCCACTTCTCAGGGTTGCGAGCTACCCGAGACACGCTTTCCAAGCAGGCAGGTTGTCAAAAATGAGGGGAAAAGAGGAAATATCCGACTCTGACTAAATACTGAGTGTCGAAACCACTAAATGAAGAGTATGAACTTGTGGGCTGCACCCAATATAAACAGAATGATGGAATTCAGAGAAGTAAGTGTCTGCCATAAAGTATAAAATTAAAACCGAATTCCCCAGAAACCTTTGCCTGGGCCTGGGAGTCACGGTCGGGGGAAACGGCCGGCGGGCCCGCGGTCTGAGTGCCACACGGCGACAAGCTCTCGCAAAAGACAAGAAGTGGGACAGGCGTGAGTTCGAGTCGCGGCCCCATACCACTGCTTCCCCACCCGCAAAACGAGGTAATATCTGCTCTACGGGGTTGCTAGAAATATTAAGGATTAATGCGGGCGAAGTGCCTGGTACATAATAGGTGTTCAATAAATGACAACTAAGAATAATAATTTGATCGGGTATTTGAATCCGGGAGAGACCCGTTTCTCTGCTGCTGTCCACGAGCTAAAGCGCCAGTTACCAAAGGTCCATTTTCCCTACACAGGTACTAACTGGTCCCTTGAGGCCCTGGACCTGGGTCCCTTATAGCATTTCACACACCGCGCAAGGCATAAGGTTACTGAAGAGGCGGCTCTGGGGCGCTCACCATCCTGAGGGCCCAGGCTACTGCTGATGTCAGGCCGCAAGAAGGGCGACCGGACACCCTGTCCTCTCCAGGCCTCGCTGGAGCACGAAACAGACTTCGAACTTTAAACATTTCAAGCAAGTGTCAGTTTTTTGTTTTCTTTCAAGGCGCACTGTGCATATGCCACTCCGTTTTCAGCAGGTGGGGAAAACACCAAAACAGACACCAGAGGGCTTGGCAAGCCCAGCAGGCGATCAGGATGAAGATGGGCTGCGAGGCGAGGGGAGCAGCGGGGAGGAAGGGGGGACCGGGAGTGTCCCTGACGCGCTCACTGTCTCCTGGGGCAGGAGGCAAGCCCTGGGCGCTGCTTCGTCAGAGGCCACTGTTCAGAGTTAATTACTTTGGCTTCATCTCTCTCTCCTTCCCTCCCCTCTCTCTCTCTCTCCAACAATTGTTTTTTGTGGTTTCAGGAATTTACGAGGTTCTCTTCTTCATTCAGAAAACGGGATCCGACAAGCCCAGAACTCTGCCAGCTGTTACCGTTGTGTGCCAACGTGCGCCTGGAAGGCGGGTTCTGGGCAGGGCGACACCCTCGGGTGCCCTATCTAGCCCGTTTCACCACCCACTGTGTCAAACAAGATCATTTCCACGGGGAGATGGTTTAGGAAGCTTCCAGAATACCGACTCCTGCGGAAAGTCTATCTGCGCACTCCTTCTCTCTTCCACCTTCACCACCGCACCGGTGGTTTGGCTTCTGCGGCGGGCGTGCTGGCGGCGGGGAGGCTGAGGCCCGCAGCGGAGGCCCTGTCCCCTGGCAGGCGCGTCTGCTCCCCGGGGCAGCGCTGGCACACGGGGCGCTCCCAGTGGGGCGTAAGAACACGCACAGGAGGTCGGTCATTTGAACGTTTGAAATAAGCCAATTTAAACAGTCACTTTTCTGACCAGAAATGTGTTTTAAAAGGAGAAGAACATACACTGATGAGGGAAAATGCTCCCAGATGTTAGCCGTCTTTGTCCGACTCGTTGTTTGGTTTCATCAATTAATAGAACACGGAGTAGCCCGGCCGGCGTGGCTCAGCGGTGGAGTCAACCTACGACCCAGAGGTCAGGGTTCGATTCCTGATCGCGGCACATGCCCTGGTTTCGGGCTCGATCCCCAGCAGGGGGCATGCGGGAGGCAGCCGATCAATGGCTCTCATCATTGATGTTTCGCTCCCTCTCCCTCTCCCTTCCTCTGTCTGAAATCAGCAAAAACATATTTTCAAAAATAGAACATGGGGTATATTAAGGTTAAAGTCAGAATTCTGAGGAACAACAACAAAAAATCTACATGTGCAAATGGGAAGCATTCAACCCGGATTCATTTAGTCAAGTGACTTAACAGCACTAATCATACTACTACTCGCACTTTATTTTCACAGAACAGCCTACGCAGACAAACAATAAAACACCAGGAGGGAATATATTTTAGTATTTCTCCAACTAGCTGCGTAGCAGAATATCCCTTTAAAAAGAAAAAAAAAAATTAGGTTTAAAAATAAATTTTAAAATAACCAGTGTTGCATCTTAAAGTACTCTAGATCATTTACTTAAGTAAATAATTTCTGACTTGGATCCCTTTGAACTTGGATAACTTGGTATTTTCTCTATATTTTTTACAGGATGTGTTTTCCTTTGTTTAAGAATCTCATTTGTTTGAAAATTGTTTTTGAGTGATTTTTGGCCACCAACTCTTCCTGGGGTTTACTTGGCTCAGATCTGTCCAGAAGCTAATTCCGATTCTTCTGTCAAATGCCGCGCAGCACTGTTCCCCGCTCTCCTGAAGGCCTGGCAGGCGCCCGTGAGCAGCTGACCACGGCGGGGCTGGGGCTGCGCTTGCAGGGAAGACGCGAGCTACGTCCTCGGGGTCGGGGTTTAGCCCAAGGTACCCTTGGTTAGAGCAGGGCCAAAAGTCGCTTCCCCAAATAAGCCTGCGCGCTTGACTCCAGCTGCCTTCAGCCATCCAGGTAGGGAAACGACTTCTTTTGACGGAGCCCTTTGTGTCGACAGGACTCACTGCTCGGCTGCTGGCTGGCGCAGGCCTGCCTCCCTCTGGGGAGGGTCACTGTCCCCGGCAGCCATCGGCCCCTCCTCCTCGAGGGCAGGATGCGGGAGGTCTCGGCTTCTCGTTTCCATCAAGGTCTGATGGACTTATCGTTGTTGGTCAGAAAGCGAGGTTATTAGAGAAACACAATGAACTTCAGAATTGTGGCATCTTTTTTTTTTTTTTTAAATCCCCACCCGAGGATATATTTTTTCCATTCGTTTTTAGAGAGCGCGGAAGGGAGGGGGAAAGAAACATCGACGTGATGGGGACCCATCGATCGGTTGTCTCCCTCACCAACCCCAACTGACCGGGCGGGGATCGAACCTGTGACCCAGGTGCGGGCCCTTGACTGGGAATCGAACCTGAGACCCCCCTTCGGTCTGCAGGCCGAATGGCTGAGCTCTAATCACTGAGCCAAACTGGCCAGGGCGAGAACTGGGGCATCCTCAGAAACGTCGCATAATTAGATTTCGGGTTCGACTGCCCTGAGTCCTCAAGTCCCCCTGGACGCTCTCGTGTGGATGTCGTGTGCCCAGGTTTTACGACGTGTCCTTCGAGGACCCTACAGCTACGCAGACTAGCTCTCCCGTGCACAGCAGCAACGTGTCACGAGTCAGTTTTGCAAGCGTTTCACAGGTCGCCGTCTAATCGCACATTTCCGACCAGCTCTGACTCGCAGACAGCAAACAGCTCCGCTGTTCAGGCCGGCGTGGCCGGCGCTCCCCACGCTCCTCAGACTAAAACCAAGTTTGAAAGCTGTGCGTCTGTCTCCCCAGCCGGCCTCCGGAGCTCACGTCTCCCCCGACTTTGGTGCATCACCTTCCAGAAGAGCCACCCTTTCGCCCCTCCTGGGACCCACCCAGCTCACCCCTGTCTGTTTCCTCTGAGGCCCTCCTAAGACGGGAGGGACGAGCTCTGGGGGGAGCGGGGAGGCAGGGCCCGTGCTGGGCCGGGAAAGGCAGGGCATCCTCCCTTCCACGCGCCCCCGGCCTTGGCCCGGCCTACCTTGGCATGCAGGCTCTGCGGTCTGCTGGAGAGGATGCCGGCAGCCTCCCTGCAGCGGGTGGAGAGGTTCAGGATGGCAGCAGCTGCTGCTAGGTGGGTGTCTTCGCTGCACTGACCGTAGCTGTAGGAGCTGGCACGGCTCGGGCTCTGTGTGTGGGCGCCTGCACTAGGCAGGCGATTAGGACATTTCCCTGGATTCGAAAAATGCTTCGCTGCTGAAAAGAGATTTGATTAGCAATTGCATGTACGTGGTCTTAGTCATCAAATAGGTTTGTTTTAAAGATGTAACTTCTTGCATTAAAATATGGGAAGAATAAATTAAAACATGATCCATTATGCCCGGGAACATTAAATGAAGGTTATTCAGACTGGTTTTCACAGAAGTTCACAGATCAAATGATGTGATTGCTGGGGGGGGGAAGCCTATTCTCTTAATATTTTTTTTTTGTATTTATACTTCTTATGACAAAAACTCTGTTGCTAATGTTATGGGCCAGGTGCACTGGCAGCATTTGTGGCAAAAAATTGTATATTAAAAACCACACAGACAAAAACACATCAGGGACTAAAGAGGGCTTGTGAGGACCAGTGATTCCACTAGAGAAAAAAAAAATATCCTTTCAGTATTTGTTTTCACAATAACAAGTTATATTTGGATATGGAATCCCATTTTTATTATTTGATACGTAGGTTTGCTTCGTACTCAAAACAGTAGAAGTTGTTTTTCATCCAAATAGATGGAGCTGAATAGGTGGCAGAGTCTTCAGCGAGCTGGCATTTTGCACAGTCAGGGAGCCCAGGGTGAGTAAAGGGCCGAGAAGACGTTCTCAAGGGGAAGAGGAAGGCCACTCAGAGGTCCAGCTGACCTTCTGTTCCGTGTTTTGTCCCGGGTACCAGGACGTGGCTGAGAGACAGAAGGGCACACGCTTCTCTTCACTCTGGGTGTTGGTAAACATCACTCAAGGTTACGGGAGAAACACCCAGGATTTAGTGTGGGATTGTATAAAAAGCATTTAGTTATTAATTCTGCTGTAAATAGTGTTTATTTTAAATGTTTTCTCATTAGTGTTTATGGAACAAAATTTGAAACATTACCAGGTGTTATCACTGTATAAAAACACGAAAATGTCACTGAATAGTTCACATTTTCAAACCAGTATCGATACCATATGAGCATATAGATTGCTCTCATTCACTAGCTTTACCAGAATTATACATGTGTGTGTGTATTTTGTATGTTTTTAATTAAACTGTGTGACACTGTACCTAAAATGGGCTAGAGAGAGACACACTGTGTGTGCCTGTGTGTCGTCCTTACTCTAACAGGCTGTCAGTGGTCATTCATGGTGGCTGGGACCTGTTTTTGGTAAGAATACGTAAAACGTCTCTTGGGGCACAATCCACTTCGTGTTGACGGGCAGCCCCTTTCAGGTCTGTTTTCATCCGCGGGGGGGTTTTCACAGCACCCAGGCCTTGGGGAGGGGAGGTCATCTCGCGGACGAAGGGGGCCCTGTGCCGTGAGGGCGGGCCCTGGCAGGGAGGGGACACGAACGGGGTCCGTGCAGAGTGTCGTCCAAAACTCCCGGTCCACGCAGGACTCAGCGTGGGGCATTGCTTCGCTTCCTCCCCTGCGGCTAAGTGACTATGATGCAGAAATCATTCCTGGCTTTGTCGCCAACATCGCTTTCTCTCCTTTTCATTCAAATACTCAAGAACTCCGAACCACTTGAGCAATAACGTGTCAGTACAAACACCGGGTTCTATATGTTACAGCATCTTTCAGTTAGGAACACGTCCTCTGTGTGGACGTGTGTTAGCATCAGGGTATTGACACATTTTAAGTGTCTCCACATAAATTCTTAAACTCGTGAGTAAATATCTCCATGGCCACACACATTTCCCCCCCGTAAAATCTTGATTCCTAAACTGTGTTTCTTCTTAGACTTTGTGCTTTTTCTCCTACTTCCAGTCTGAACACTTTTGCTAATTAAGTAATGTTTTAAGTAGCGTGTCAATATTTTACCTATTAAATTCCCATAATTTCACTATCAATCAAAATTACTTTCTTATAATAGCTATGGCCATTTTCAGTGTATCAACCCCAATCCCAGCCAAATGTGAATTAAGTCTTTCTTTAGAATTACTGTGTTTAGACTCAATAATAGTAACCATATTTGTAGAATAATTAATTCGTTAATTAATCACCATATTTCGTGTAACTTCATGTAAAATCAGTAACACCGATCAACTTGTTATTGTATATGCTCTTTCACTATACAATATATTTCCTCTCCTCCCAGCAGTAAATAGCGTTTTTGAGTATAACCCTCCCACCCCAAACACACACACACGCACAATATGCATTTTTTTTTTTGGAACAAGCATTAGAATTCAAAGCTTACATTCAGGAAACGGTGGTGTTTTTTGGCCTTGACCTGCTTGCATNACAATATGCTTTTTTTTTGGAACAAGCATTAGAATTCAAAGCTTACATTCAGGAAACGGTGGTGTTTTTTGGCCTTGACCTGCTTGCATGAGGGGCCGTTTACCGAAAACCTGTGCATCGAAGCTGGCGTAATCAAATGGCACTTTCCCAAATTTCTCTTGTTCTTTTGACACCGTGGCTCTGGGAGAGGCGATGGCTTGTGATCGGAAGTTGAATTCTATTTGTTTCACCAGGCTTGTCCTGGGGAGTTTGAAAGAAATACGGTTAAACTGCTGGTGAGCATGTTAGCATCAGAATTCAGAGCAGGTCAGATGTGTCGTGCCTGGCCGTTCCCTTAGAGACCCTGCACTGCGGGAAAGAGCTGCGGTCACAGCACAACCGAGCGAGTGAGAGATAGGGAGGCACTTCGGGCTCTGGGTGGCGAAGGTGAGGCTTCATTTTGTGTGTGAGTCTCCCACCCGTAAAAGAGAGACGTAGTCGTCCATTCTTCTTGTGCAGATGCCGCAAGAAGGAAGCATTGGACGTATGTCAGCTCTCTGAGCTCCTTAGAGAGAAGTGCCCTGTGACTATTATTAAGGCACTGACAAGGCGTGCACCTTCTGCTTGTTAGGACTGTTAGACTAGCAGTGAAAAGGTATGATTGTAACTTATCACTAGTCCATAAGTTCATTTAAGCGACAGTATGACCAACTGGACCAGCCTCTCCAGTGGACATTGGTAGCCGAGAATGAAGATTAGGCCACAGTGAGCTAGCACACGAGGGGTGACAGAACCACCGTGCAGGAGCCTGGTGTAACTAGAAGACCGGGGACATCGTGGGGGGCCATACCTGTGAACCTGGTCAGAACACTGCCCCGTTTGGGGAGAATCAAACTGATTTTTGTCCTGGGACATTGCCAATTTTTCAGCTGCAGCAATTGGACAACCCGAAAGGCTATGAAAAAAACAAAAGGGGGTGAGGATTTGAGTTATAAAGATAATATATTTTGCTTTGGCATGTACCTCACATCATACTTGGCACACACTAAGTATTAAATCATATTAATAGTTCACTTAGCCCAGCAAAGGTGTTTGCAAACTGTAGTGTCAACATTTGTCTCTCAAGCACATCTCAGAGGTGGTAGACAACAAACTCATTTTTAAAATAAAAATATTACGTAAGGAAGAAATAACTAGATTATTCTGAAACTTCACAACATTTTAAGTGGGATGTGCTCACTCCAGTTGCAATGCATCCACTACAGATGTTAGCATGACAATGCCAGGACCTATCTCGGATCTTTAGGGGAATGTGAGCGACTTCGTTGGTGTCTTAGTTTAAATGGAATGTGAAGGTTTCTGGCAATATGCTTACGAATCAAAGAGCATCTTCAGATCACACAATCTATACATCACATAAAACATACATAAAACAATAAGCATTGTCACCAAAAATATTTACACGCACACAACCCATGTGTGTATAAATGCGCACGTGTGGTTTAAGTTAGTTGAGGTCTCCATGAGATGAATCTCCGTGAAATGTAGTAACGTTTAGCCTCCCCCTGATCTATAGTCAAAACCGCAGTATACTGAAGTCTTTTTGGTACCTTTTTAATGCTGATAGAACTGGGTTCAAGATAACTCATAAACAATTCTCTTTCATGTCAAAGCAGCTTTGGAGAGGGTCCAGAGCCAGAGACCGTGTTCTACTTGCATGACAATGTGAATGCGTAACCCTGCTCTTCAAATTTAACATTTTTTGTTAGCAGCCTCATTGACTGGTAAATGAACATTTCTAGGAAAGTAAATAATGAGGTCATTTTTTTTTTTACTCTGCACAAATTGAGAATACTTATCTATTTCAAACGGTCAGGTATCTGATACTGATGCAGTGATTTGGGTAACACAATGCTAGTTTCTTATTTTCTTTTTTAAAAGTGTGTTTTTATTCATTTCAGAGAGAGGAAGGGAGAGAGAGAGAAACACCAGTGATGAGCGAGCCATGGATCGGCCGCCTCCCGCACGCCCCCCACTGGGGATCGAGCCCGCGACCCCGGCCTGTGCCCTGACGGGGAATCAAGCCTGAGACCTCCCCAGGTTCGTGGGTGGCTGCTCGACCACCGACCCCCCCCCTCCCAGCGGGGCTCTCCTTCTTATAAAGTAAAAGTTAGCGACTCATCGCAATTACCTCCTGTGGGTGTTTCGGTTGCTGTTCACGTGCCCTCGTCCTGTGCATCCCGGGGTGGGGCACTTGAGCACATTTTCATGCATGGCAAGAACTACGCACAAAATATCACACAAGAGGGAAAAATAACAGACCATAAATACGACGAACCGACACACCGATTTCTCAGTTTTGCATTCAAACAAATTCAGTTACGTAACCCCCCATGCTCCCTCCCCGCCGACGCTGGGGTTGAAGTAAATGAGCACTTAAGGGCTTCGGAAATTAAATTGAACAAGCTTGCCCGAGTCTGAGGTGTCCTACACTTCGTATTATGGCCAGCGCTAGGCTTAAATGAGACGGTTCTGCTTCTATTTAACTTAAACCGAAAAGCTCACACTCTCCCTTTTATATTTATATGCTTTTCCTTGGAGCGAACGGAAAACACTGTTTGTCAAACCCTGGTTCTGTCTACCTTTTCCCCACAGTGTGACGTCCTGAACCCGGTCTTCCTTACTCCCTAAGAGAGGTGATTTGGGTTCTTTGCCCGTTGCCCCTCCCTCCTCACCCGCTGCCATTCAGTGGTTGGTGGAAGAGCACGGTTGGGGCAATCAGGGCGAGAAAGTGCTAATCCGGGGGCGCAGCGTTGAGCTGAGTAGATTCAGTGATTTGCAAAAAAAATCCTTTTGCGAAGGGTGACGTTGAGGCGTTGCCACCACTGAGGTTTGTGTGACCTGAGCGGAGGTCCAGTTAGTAGCTCGAAAAGCGGAGGACACGACCCGGAGACGCTGGGAAACAGGAGGCGGCCCTTTCCTTTCCCTGAGTTTTCCGGCTCACGGCGGGCACGTGGGGGGGACCACGCTCAGGGCCCTCAGCTGCTGTGGGGTGTCCTGGGCAACATCACAGGCACCGCGGGGCCCTAAGTGCGGAGGCCGGTGTGGGGGACACCGGTGACGGGTGCCCATCCCACCTTTAGCTGACGCCCTGAGGCTAACACTCCCCGTGGGCCTCCACGTGGGACAGGGCCATCGGTCGCACAGGGTGTTCACCGCGCCTTTTGTTTTCTGGGTTTTGATGCTCTGACTTCGGGGGCCTTGCTAATCCCGGGGAGGCCGCCCCTCCCAGGGCTACCTAATTCCTAGAGACAGTAAACCCTTTGCAAACGAAAACCAACCAACCTGAGCCGCACCCAACTGCCTCTCCCACCGGGTTCGGGCATCACAGGGCCCTGCCCAGCCGCCCTGACCTCCCAGGGCCGGAGCCCGGCGGGAAATCCCCCGGGCCAGGCCTCAGCCTGCCCGCCCCGCTCCTTCCCACGGACGCCGCGCTAAAGGCTCAGGCCCACGGTTCCCCTCTCACCGCGCCCCCGCCGGCCCTGGTCCTACCCCGTGAGGACGCCCCCTCCTCCCCGGGACTACGAGGAATAATTACCTTCTCAGGACCGGGCGTCTCGGGGCCCACTGGCCTGGCTGTGCCCACGTTTCCCACGAGCACACTGCACCCTAAACACCAGGCTAGATGGGAATGACCGTGATGGAATTTCGAAAGCGACTGTGTATTCCCATTCCCAGTTCCAAGTGGGGGGAGGAGGAGGGTACCAGTGAGGCCCTGCGGGGTGCGTAACGGCACCGCCTTCTTTTCGGGGCCAGCGGTACTCACTTTCGAGGGGGACCCGCACTTTGTGGGGGCACCCCGAAAGGCTGCGGTGGTGGGGGTAGAGCCCTGTCACATGTCCTGTGCCGTCGCAGCCGGGGATGGGGCACTTGGTCTCCCTCTTCTCAGGCCTCGGCGAATCTACAGAGAAACGAAGCGGGAGATGCGTCTGGTTATTGCCGTTCCCGTCCCTTTCAACAGCGTGGCCTTGCAGGGTGACGCCCGCCTGCTGCTCGGCTTCGTGGCCGTAAACATCTTTCTCGCATTGCCTTGGAGAGGACCCTCAACTAAGACCTGTGGGAACATAAAACGTTTTCAATTTTCTTGGTTTCTTAAGCAGAGGCTGACCCAGGGCAAGGGAGCGTTAAAATACAAGGTGGCTTTAAAAAGTTGTCAGGCCACAGATTGTAGCGACAGCCTCGTTATGAAAAAGCGGTTCCACGCCAAGGGGTGCACAGGCTCCTGAAAACAAGAAGAAAAACGTGAGAAAGAAGAAAGAATTTATTTAAACCATAAACTACCTCCTATTGAAGGAGTCCGGAGCGAGCGGGTTCAGAAGGACAAAACCGAGAGCCACCGTATCTGAGAAAGACACCTCTGGCCTTGTCACGAAGCAGGTGGCCCCAGTGGCCCAGCGGCTGCTGCCAGCGGGGGTGGAACCTGCCTCCGCGAGCCGTAGGACGGGGGTCAGAAGCCACCCCGCGGGCGGGCGGTGCCGCGGGTCCCACGGTTCCGGACACCAGCGGCCTGCCGCTTGGGGCCCGTAGGCAGAGGCTGCTGAAGAGGGTGGTTGATTCTGCTCTGAATGCAGATACAAACGGGCCACATGGAGGTTTAGGGCGAAGAAACGTTCTGGCAGGAGAGCCGGAGAGAACGGAAGCAGCGAGGGGAGGCCGCCTGGAGCGGCCTGGGGCGTGCGCGCGGCCAAGGACACGGTGGCGGTGGGGGTGCGGGTCACGGGCACAGCCAGGCGGAGATCAGGGACATCCTGCAACTCATCCTGCCAGGCGGCCGTGGGACGGCTGCCTGAAGGGGGAGGAAAGAAGGGAAGCCCCGGGCTGGGAATGTTCCGGCACGCACACTGCTGAGGGTGAGATGAAGGGTTATCTAAATATATGAAATCAGTGAGAGCCAACGGGACTGCTGAGGGGGGGACAGTTACCGAGAGGCCCTTCTCTAGAATTCTCATATTCGCGGCTGAGACGACAGGTGAACTTAGAGCAGAAAAGCATTCTTGCAGCCCAAACAGCCCCCCCGACTTGAGCATGGAATGAAAACTGCTAATGAAAATAAATAAGCTGCGGGCGATGCAATGGGGGCCGAGTCCCGCCCGGAGGATGCTCAGGGCCCCCAGGCTCCCGCTCGCTCCACGCCTGGCCCAGGGAGCAGGCCAAGGTCTCGGGATGTGGCAGCCGGATCAGGCTGGGGCCTGCGAGGACACACGTGCCTCTGGGACAGTGTGCCACCCCAGTTGTTGGATTATAAACGGTCCTGGGCAGATGGGCACAGCAGGCTGTAGGTAATGCAATTATTTGGGGACCAGGGTTTCAGCAAAAGGGGGGAGCAGCCGAGGATCTTCCAAGTTGCCCCGCACAGGGGCTGGGGGGCGGGACGGGCGTCGAGCAGAGAGAAAGTTCTAAGTTGTAAGTGAGGAGTGAACAGAGGAAAGAGAGGGGGGCCTTGAGCAGCGGGCATTTTTGTTTGATGAGAGAGACAGGATTTAAATGCCATGATGGGGACAATATGTTGTTCTCTGTAAGAGACAAAGGGGCATGTAAAGAGCTCCGGCATGTTCTGTGATTTTTTTATGGATACAGATTTTACCTAATCCAGAAACGTTGCCCCATTTCAAGTTGACTCGGGCCTGTGCTACCTGCAGGCCGCTAGTCAGACCCCGTGAAGTCTGATGATGGTGAAATTAGGAGGGCTGACACCGCCTGAGCGAGAATTAGAAAGAAAGGAGGAGCGGCGTGTATTTTGGTGCCTGTCTTCTCTTGGACCCCATCCAGGTGAGGCCACATTTCTAAGCCACACTGAAAGGCTTGGCGTCAGCGCCTCTCCTCGCTGCCACACGACTGGGCGACCGGAAGCCAGAGAGGGTGTGGGAGATAAGGCCGGGCTGGCACCCGACCAGGCCTGGGCCACCGACAGCCCATCACGCACCTTTGTCTGCGAGCCTCTGCCCTGCGGGCGAGACAAAGATGCCGACGGAACCCTCTCTAGGGCAGAACCTGTTCGCAAGATAAGGCGCCAGCGCCCCCGGGACGCTCAGGCCTGGCCCCTCCTACGTTCTGTGTGAAATGCTGCCTGGTGACCATGTTCCCCACGACCCGATGTCCTGGCTCCTCTGGGACCGTGCTAGTCACACCTGACACACCTGCTTGCAGTTGTTCCCATCACTCCCCTTCCCTCTAAAGGGCTGTACGATCAGCTACGCGATGACTCTACTTATACTGCGACTTAAAGTCTCACTCGGTGCGTAGCAGCATCAGAAGAGTCAAACTTCTTTTATTTCAGAATTGCTGACTCACCTGAAGCCTCGGGTAAAACAATATTCCAAAACCCTACTGTCCTCAACCTCACAGCAGTCACACGCCCGCGGTCTGCAAAAAATCAGGCTGCTGTTTGGAAGAGCATTTGGGAAAAGTGTTGTCTTCGAAGCAGGGAATTCATGCCAGAGAAAGAAACGCCTCTTAAGCTGCTGGCTCCCACATCTCGGAAAGGATCGGGAAAGTGAATATTTAATTTGGACTCCGTAGGCATCCTCTGGACTACAGGGTTTCCTTTCTTTTTTAAAAAAATATATATGTTTTTTTATGGATTTCAGAGAGAGGAAGGGAGAGGGAGAGGGAGATAGAAACATCCATGATGAGAGAGTCACTGATCGGCTGCCTCCTGCAGGCCCCCGACTGGGCATCGAGTCTGCAACTGGGGCCTGTGCCCTGACCGGGAATCAAACCGTGACCTCCTGGTTCATGGGTCAAAGCTCAACCACTGAGCCACGCTGGCCAGGTGAGTTTTGCTCCCCCCCCCCCTTGTTATATACTAATCTGGTCTGGATCTCCCTGCAGAGGCTTTTACCAGCCCAAGGCGGCACAATGCTCTACGCAATGAGATACACCCCAGACTCAAGCAGCAGCATCAGTCACTCAGTAAATCTCCAACAGGACCCATGCCTATAAGCACAGAGCCTAACGCCTTGTTAACTTTTGAAAATAAAAATAGTTTCAAGAGTTCTACAAAATTGACCAAAGGACCATCAAGTATTTTAAGCTATAGCACACTTAATGAAAATTCCTTCAAACGCTGGATTTCATTGACTGGAAGGTTTCATCAATGGTAAGATGAAACATCATTTTGTGTCTTGGTAAGAAATAAAAAAAAACAACTGTTGGAATTAAATTATGGCACATTCTTTGATTTCAGAGATATTGAACGGGGAACTATGTATCTTAGAATGAATGAAATATAGTATATTAGATACTATGGGTTGGGGGAATTGGAAATAAATTATTTAATTTTTTTTCCTGATTTTTTAGTTTATTAAAAAAAAACAACAACACAAAAAAACTAAAAGAACACACACACGCAGGTGAGTCCAACATTTGCCTACTAGTGGAGCACACAGAGCTAAACACAGTGTCCTGTCCCAAACCACACTCTGTTCACTAATGTGCTATCCCCACCCCAGCCCTGGCCATAGGTTTGCATAGCAATCTCGTATTCCTCACTCACTACGGGACATTATTTTATTCTTTTTTGTTCTCTCAGCTCTGAGCCACAAGGCAGTGCCTGATAAGATTGCAGGTGAGTACTAAAACAGACTTAAAATGACAAAACATATCACTCATTTCTGCATAAATATCAGCAACCAGAACATCTAAATATTCGAATAAGCACAACCTTGAGGCCACCACCTTGACTCAGGTTTTCCCCGATTCTGTGGTTATCCGACTTCAGGGTGTCTAAGAACCATTCGATGAACTTACTTTAAAAAGTCAAGTTCTGGAGCCGCTAGTCTGGAAATACCCATCCTAAACAAGCTTTCTAGGCACCAAAGCACCACCATTTGGGAAACTCCACTTAACTGTAAAAATCATCACCAGGCCCACCTAGTGCAAGGCCAGGGGAGGGCAGGGGAGGGAATTATCTTTATAGGAGAGAAAACATAGTTTCCCTAAGGTCTGAGGAACAGTTTTAAGCATATTTACTCTCTCGTTCAAGCTTGGTCCAGATTTCTGTGGATCCCGAGTTAGAGAGCCTGTAAAAAGCATGGGCTTATAAAAGCATTACAGCCAGTTTTATCCTAAGAAGGATCACATAGATCATTCTGCCTGACTTGCAAGTAGCTTGACATTATTTTGAAGCTTAAAGTCAGATGATCCCAGAAAGAGGGTGGGAAAGAAAAAAAAGATTCTAGAATTGATTTGATTAATATGGTGATTTAAAATCCAATAAGGACTGATGCACTTCTAATGTTCAATAAAGTTCTTTTTAAAAAGCACTACAGACTTTTAAAAAGCAACAAAATTAAAAGAAATAGAGGCAACGATCCTTCTATTGTGCAGAACTGACCGAGCTTGATCTGAGAACAGTTTAGAGAGCAGGGAAACAGAAAGAAATTGTTTATTTCATAATAGAAACTAGTTTTTAAGTTGTGTTAAGTTGTCAAAAAAGCTATCTGGAAGAAGTAATCAAATCTTACTAATTTTTCCCCCCAATCCTAAAGCAATTTTACTTCTAAAATAAAGACAAAAATGTGTCTTACGTTTATTGTTAAAGATTTGTCTTCCACCCATGTCGATAACTTTGGTTTGTCTCCTTTCCCCGGCGAGGTGCTCCAGGAGAAACCTGTCCAGCTCTTTGTAGGTGTTACGAAAAACACACCCTCGCTCAGCCTGCAGAGCGATCGCCTGCTCCAGCAAACTCAGGTTCCCCTTCGCCTTCTCCAGGTCGACAGACTCCTCCGTCACCACCGCCAGGCACTGGTTATCATCTTCCTCGGCCCCGGGGAACGAGGCCTGGGCTTTGCCCTCTGACAGTTCTGTGTGAGCGTGCTGTGGGGCCCTCCTCTCTGTTTCAGAATCGCACCCGTTTTCACAAGAGATGAATTTGTCACCTTCAGTTTTTATTTCGGTAACTTCCAATATGTCTTCCCTATTATCCACTAAAATATACTTTGGGACGTGATGTGGTTTGGTTTCTTCTGAGAAGTTGGAGCCACTGTCCCAACCATTCTCCGCACTTTCAGAGTTACTTTCACTGTCATCGGAGGAGCAGAACCTTAGCTGGGCATCTTGGGTTTTGTCCTTTCCATCGTCGGAATGAACCATAAAGCACTCGTCTGTGTCATCACTCTCAGCCTTCAGAGACTGGATGCCACTGTCATTCAAGTTTTCATTCACAGTCTGAACAGATGTATTTTTTTCAAGTTTCCCCAAGTGCATTAAAGATTTGACCACGAGCTCTTGGTAGCAGCTGTATCTGTCTTCCTTCCCATTGGGGTTTTCTTGTGAGGTTGAATGAAGATTCCCATCCACAGGTTGTATCGTGATTTCATCTGTGGAGAAACACACACACACACACACCAATATTTGAAAAACGAGAACAAAAATAGTTTAAGGAAATTATTTTAAGAAATATTTTACAAAATTTTTAAGGAAACAGGTATAATATATACATACCTATGTATATATACTATGTGAGATATGTGAATAGGTAGGCTCTATCAATTTTAAAAACATTAGGGAGAAAATATATATCTTCCTAAAACAAAACAAAACTTAGACCTTCATATTATGAGAATTACCTTTAAAGAAATAAGCTATTAGAATTTTCAGTATATTAGGAACTGGTGCTTCTAGGGTACTGAAGTAGACACGTAACAGTAAGAGAATGCTGGGTGTGACTTTATCATTACTGTACCCATTATATTTGCAAATCTTAGCCACCTGGAAGGAAATAAAATGTACACAATGCTATACATTACAAAGGAAATACTCATCAGATTTGTCTGTTAGCATTTCAGTGCATTTTCAAAGCTTAGTTGGTTTAAGTTTTCTACTTCATAGTTTTTTAAACATACTTTCAGATTTTATGGAATTTTAGTTAAAATACATCTACATGGTGATAACTAAAAACTCTCTGAAGCTTTCAAGATTTCCTGACCACTTTCATAACTGTCACACAAAAATTCCACGTGGAGTGAAATGTAAGCAAATGGGGAAATTAGCATGGTCAAGTAATGCCTTAAACAGTAACACATTTTCTGGTCTGGGACCTGGTGCATTTCTGTAAAAAGGAAATGAGACAAGAGATGGGGATGGTTGGAGGACGTTGAATGTTAATGGGTTGTCCTCGGTACAGGGCCAGCTGGAGTCCCGACAGTCAAGGAGCCCCAGGACTGAGAGCAGGTCCCAGTGCTGGTCTGTCTGGGACGGTCCACTGGCTCTCTGGGGTCCCGGTGCCCCCTTTCATTCTCAGCAACGGCCCAGTTGGGGTGACAGGATTGTGTGTATGTGTGTTTGTGTGTGTGTCTCAGGCAAACACACCAACTAAGGGTCTAGACTCTCTGGTGAGCTGACCCTTGCCCAGCTCACAGTGGACTCCGGGGAGCAGGGCACCCAGCACGCACCAGGCTGTGACATAGCCCAGGCAGCCCAGCGATGCTCCTCTAGTGAACAACGTGACAGAAAGGAAGGGGGTGAGGAAGAGCCAGAGGAGGAAGATGGGCCACACGAAATAACCAGCCCCCTTGAAGTCTGCTAAAGACACCAAGTGACGTGCACTCTGTGCTAATGAGCGTCTCTGGGGGGAAGAAAAGCAGAGCCACCCAGCGGGAGGGCTTCGGGAGAGGGCGTCTGAGCGGAAGACAATGGGCCTTTTCTGGTCTCATTTAATTTTTTTTTTTTATAAACATTGTCTCTGACAAGGACACTCATCTCCATCACCTTCCTTTCTGGTAATTACCTCCCTAAATCAGCACTGGACTGCCAGGATCAAGTAAATATTGCCATAGTAACTAAAAGCATTTTTGGATGCAGGAAGAATTTAGTCACAACACTAGCCCCTTTAAATAATGCTGATTATAGGGTGCAGTCTTTTGTTGGGATCTATTCAACATTAACTGAAAAATTTAACATTTTACTTCCTAGGAAAGAGGCTGGATAAGCAAGCACGCAGCATTCGGTAGGACGGCCAGTCCTCCCCTGAATCCATATCAGGGGAGCTCCCGGTTTAAATAATATATTAAACATAGTCTAAAATGCAAATGAACTTTTCCTCCCCATCGAGGCGGGAGATTAAGAGAAAGTGTAAAGGGTTATGGTAATTTTAAAGTATTATGAACTACAGAAAACAAATAAAAAGCATTTTCAGTGAATATGCTCGATTCACTGAACTATTCTCTCACTCCCCTCAACTACCCACATGTGTGCAATAATGATTTATAGACATTATACCTAATTATGCATATTTGGGCTGTGGTAGAGTGCTAACAAAAGCTCTAGAAAGCAACAATTACCTCTGTTGCTTAGCTACATAGTTTAAAATATTCCTATTAAGTGCAGATCACCCGAGAGGCGGGAGGGGCAGAAACACACATGTGTGCGACAATGCACTTCACTGAGCCGCTGCCAACCGCTAGCGTTTTGGGTCATTTCCAGTTTACATAATTGCTTGGTTCAACTGTTTGTTATATGCTAAAAGAAAATATTTATTAATTATTCTTTAGGAAAAGAGGAGCCCCGCCGGTAGCCATGCCCGTGCGCACAGCACAGGGGGGTTTCCGGGGACGGTCTGCAAACCCGCAAACCAACTTCCACGTGTCCGGCTCTCCCTGGCTTTCACTGTGGTCGGAAGGA